TGCACAAGTAGCGAGGAAACAGAACTGATTTGCGAAACTGTGCTCTTTGAACTGAAGCTAAACCGGAATCCACTGCTGGTCCTCGGAGTATACAGGCCACCAAGTGCAAACCTAGACCAAGCAATCGATATACTCTCTGAACAACTGGAAACAGTGCTCACTACGGACAAGCAAATATTAATAATGGGGGACATCAATGTAAACAACCTAGTTGATGACAATGAAAACGAAAAAATTGAAGAACTCCTAACCTCCTTAAATATCTCAAGAATGAGGCTACCTCCCACTCGAATTACAAGTGACTCAGAAACATCAATAGACTGGATATGCTCAAACATTGATAATCAACAAATAGAAACCTCAGTTATAACATCAGGACTATCTGACCATACCGCACAAATCGCAAAAATAATCACTAGAATACCGATCATCAACAACATCAAAGAAAATAAACGAATCTTCAACAAAACAACAATAGATAACAATAGACACAACTACAAGAACAAGACTGGGAAAATATAATATAAACTCATGACGTAGATGAAGCCTACAACAATTTCAGCAAAATCATCCAGACAACACTAAACCACACCTGCCCTCTTAAAACGTCAACGTGTTGTCTTAAAACGTGTTGTTCACTGAGTTAAACAACATAAAAGGAGACAGTGCTGGAATCAAGAATCGGCTAGACTAAAAAAAAAATGAATATATAAAGGTCTTAGAAAAGGAGCAAACAACCGGACTTATGCAAGACAAAGCCAGAACAACTATTAAAAATACCCCCGCCGCAGCAAACCTGCCATCTAAGCGAATTTCCATTTGATTGATTTTCAATAATTGATCTATTTAAATAGCATTATTAGGTTTAACGAGTACCTAGGTTTGCTGCTACAAGGAAACTAATAAAGTAGTGTGTTTTTAGTAAAATATTGATAGCTTACTATAAAATAAATAAATTTGCCAAGTTTGATCAAAATATATCCATAAACAAGCAAACTACAACATTTTACAATATTCTCCATAAGAATAACATGGGAATTTTAAATTTACCATTTTTTTAGTTTTCTCCGTAACCAATAACCGTACAAAAACGCTTTGATATACTGAATTGTTTGTTTTTTTAAGCTCTATAAGAAGGGTTAGAGAAAAATTGGGAAATTTTGTGTTTTGAGGGTAAAAAGTGAGAAAAACCAATTTTTACCCCATAAAACCCTGTTCCCATGATCCGATCATGCTGGATCGCGAACTCATTCAAGTTTATCCCACCTTACACCTTCAAACCAAATTTCATCAAAATCGGATAAAAATTACTCAAGTTATCGTGTTCACGGACACACATATATATATATACATATATAAAAATTTGAATGAATGGTGTTTTTGGCCTCTGGGGACATTAAAAGGAAAAATTAAATCGGTCCCGGGCCTAAGTCTTACCATGAGACCTACGGTAATAGCTACTTCCCTATAGGGAAATTCGCTAAAAAGGAGTACGACCAGCATTTGAAAATGCTTCGGAAAGAAAACAACACAGCTCACATAAATCAGGCTGAAAACAAGTCTAAAGCACTGTGACAAACAATAAACCGAGAAAGGGAAGCGAGATCAAATACTGAAAACCAAATCCATCTTCAAATCAACAGTAAAACAATAGACGACCCAATAGAAGTTTCAAACTGTTTTAATAATTTTTTCTCATCAATAGCTGACCGAACACTCCAAAATAACAATAACTCTAGAACCAATGCCTTAACAGACCATTTACCAGCAACACATCACACACTCCAGTTCAGACGGGTCACACAAGAAGAAGTGCAAAAGGCCATTCAATCTCTAAAGATGAAAAATTCATCTGGAACTGATGAGGTATCAGCTAAACTTCTAAATAACTGTAAAAATGAAATAGTAATACCCCTGACAGTACTCATAAATAAATCGCTCTCACAAGGAAAATTCCCAGATAAATTAAAAATAGCTAAAGTCTACCCAAAATACAAAAATGGACCAACGATAGAAAGAAGGCTACAGGATAATCTCCCTAATATCAATGTTTTCAAAAATAATCGGAAAGATAGTGCTAGCCCAACTCCTACACCATCTTCAAGAACACAACCTTCTCAATAGTCAACAGCATGGATTTATCAAAGGCAGATCGACAGCCACAGCCTTAATACAACTGACGGAGCAGGAGCACATACTAGACCAGCTAGAAGAAGGCAACACTTCAACAAGCCTCTTCCTAGATTTTAGTAAAGCTTTCGATTGCCTAACCCACGAACTTCTTCTACTCAAGCTGGAAACACTAGGTGTGAGAGGAAGAGCAGCAGAATGGTTTAAAAGCTACATTAGTAACCGGGAAACAGCTTGTGGAAATAGCCTACATAAAGAACAACACAAAGTATAAGGCCCAATCCAAAGCTGTAGACGTGCGAAGAGGAGTACCCCAAGGATCAGTACTTGGCCCAGTCCTATTCCTCCTTCTCACGAATGACCTACCTAGTTGGATTGGGGAAGATGGACACACCACCATGTACGCAGATGACACGGTTCTCACATTTGCGGACAAAACAATGGAAAATCTGGAAGAGAAAACCAACACACAACTCCAGAGAACAAAGCAATACTGTACCTCCAACGACCTAGTTCTAAACGATATCAAAACCGTTTAAATGACTTTCACCACCAAACGCAACAACACAGACACTACAATACCGGGACTACAAACACAAAATACCTTGGCATCATAATTGACTCCAAGCTATCATGGAAACCCCACATAGACCAGCTCTGCAAACAGCTAAGTTCAAGTCTCTACGTTATACGTAGGATCAAGCAAGCTTGCAGTCCAGAAGTAGCCAAAGTTGCATATTTTGCTCTATTCGAGTCCCACCTCAGATATGGCATTGCGACTTGGGGTGGAACATCAAAAGGCAACCTGGAAAGAGTACTCATATAGCAAAAAAGAGCAATTAGATGCCTTGCCGACCTAAACTATAGAGACAGTTGCCGAGAAGCATTCAAGAACCTTAAAATTCTCACATCAATTTCACTCTACATAAGAGAAGTCATTATCCACACCACTAAAACAGCCCAGCCAAGACACAGAGACATACACCAGCACAACACACGACATGCCGCCAATTTTTCCCTCCCACAACACCATCTGAGTCTGTACGAGAAGAAACCATCCTACAAAGGTGCTCTGTACTTTAACAACCTACCAGAGCACCTTAAGAGAAAACAACCCAATCTGTTCAAGAAGCACCTGACAACATGTCTTATGGACCGGCCGTTCTACTCTGAGGATGAATTCTTAAACAATAAGCTACCATGAAAAAAAAAGAAAAAAATATTCTAATTGTAATTGCAAATGACTGTAATAGTTTATGTACATACTGTACATTTTATGTACCTGACGCATGAATGTTCTCTAGGAATATTTCAATAAAGATTTTGTCTATTGTCTATTGTCTATATTCAACTCAAAAGATACATTATTTTACTCAATCTAGGCCTATTACAGTAGACTCCCTCTTATCCGGACACCTTTTAACCGGACATTGTTTTAACTTTAACCGGACTAGACTCGGTAGAAGTGACATCTCTTTATCCAGACAATCTTTATCAGTACATCGGTTTAACCGGACTAGATCGGCAGGAAGTGGGCGGTACTAAAACGACTGTTCTCGTGGAAAAAATTTGAGACCAGTGATCACGTGTCTAAAAACACTGTTCTCCTAATTTTACGTCAAATACTGTATACAGTATGCATTTAAACGGGGTCCGTTTAAACAAGTTTTTGGGGACGTCGGTTTAACCGGAAAAACCGTTATCCGGACTGGCCTCGGTCCCGAGGAGTCCGGATAAGATGGAGTCTACTGTAGGCTACCTATATTTACAAAATTGGTAAACATAAACAATAAATTAATGAACACATGTTAAAACTGTACATCAATATCACAGATGAGTTGTGTGTCAGTTAAATTAACCTAATTTATTGTGGCATTTTAGTTTTATCAATTTTTAATGTGTGATTAAGTTAGTCTTGAAGAAAATAGGAATTGAAATTAGTTTTTTATTGCATTTTAATTTTTAAGAACTTATATAGGTAGTTCTTTTAATATTTTTGAAGTTGTTTAAAACGTTTCAATTTATGGACACTTGAGGTTTAATTGTTAATAGCGAGTTCGTTCCACACAATATAATTCACATCAGAGTTGAGATGATGCGTGTTTATTTACTTCACTCTCATTCATAATTCACCTTAAACACATACACACATACACAAAATAACTAACCGCGAAGCAATTGTTGACCATGTTGTAAGGAACTGGGACTACTTCTCAATCTTACCCCACGACAGTGACGGGAATAATGACCTTAATTCCAGGGAATACCTCTATGAAATGAATAAGGTATTTGAAATGTCCATGTTGGTGGGTTGTGTTAGCTGGTTGTGGCTTCTCAACTATTATACAAATTAAATAATTTATTGTTTATGTAATTTGTTTTATTTTATGATAATCTGGCACTTTAAACACTAATTTATTAAACATTTTTACCAATTTTAAAGTTTTCGTAGCGAAGCACGGGTGTTCCGCCTATAGGCCTACTGGATATATTTATTATAGACTCCTGGAATGAAGTTTTTGAAAATGGCAGCTTGCCGAAATAATATGTAGAACCTTGAATGTTACAATTTGAAACTGATGACAGATAAATGTAAAAAACCAATTAGGCTAGTCAAAATAACAGTTCCGGAGCAACTACAATGTATTTTTAGTGAATTGTATAGGCCTAGTATAGGTAGTTTAGCAGAGGCTGTAGGGAGCTAGTTTTTTCAATGCAGGCCATCATAATCTACTCAACATTGCCTGTGTATGACATTACTTAACAAAATAAGTGGGGTGGCCAAAAGGGACTCATACCATCTCTCATATAAAATGTACTAGGCTAGGTACAAATATGCTTAAATTGTGAAGTTTGTCACTGTTACCTACCTTTAGAGTATCCTGAACACACATGTGGGGTTGAGGTGGGCTGCGCCATACTCGGGTGAAGTTGCGAGACAATGGCTGATTTCCTGGTAATGGAGCCAACACATTCTCTCCGTTGTTGTTCATTGTGGGTAATGTGATGTTCAACTCCTCCCTCTAACAACAATAATTTTCAAACTCAATAGGATAGCTATAGGTATAGTCAACAGGTTTACATAGCTCAGAGCTATTTTTTTACTTGTTTCTGTTTCACATAAAACCTTAGCCTAATATATTTTTCATCCTCTGCCTGTAGTAGATCCAAAGCAAGAAAATATTATCAATTTTTTCTTTAATAGGCCTACAGATTATGGTAAAAGTTGCTGCCCTGATTAAGTTAAATCATATCCCATGAGTCAAAGCACTGAAGTGGTGCTGAGAACTACAAAACTATTCAAGTTAGGTAAGTGTCTCATTTAGAGGTTAAGACATGAGGCTTAGAAGAAACCAGAAAACATTTACAAATAATACCTAGCTGATCAAGCTAATTAAATATCCTTTAGAAGGCACAGGCATTTTGATAAACCATTTTCGATCAGACATTTTGATAAACCATGGACTTTCAAAAAAGTTAAAGAGTCTTTTTAAACAATTATTTTACTGGGGTTTAAAACTAAACAGAACAGTCCAACGAGCTTGGTCAAAATTGTTTAGTTTCAAATGTCTGTAAAAATTACCCTAGCCTATTTGGTTGGATAAAATAAGTCCTACATTGATCTGGTAACATAATATTGTCTCCTTTCTTGACATAAAATTATGATCAGTCTTCATCATCGATCTCAAGAAGACATATCGAGAAGACATAATGTCACAGGCCTAATGGTTTTTGTGTGGCATATTTTTTTAGTGGTTTAAAAAATGGCCATGAAGACTTCAACGTTGCTGAATGAAGAAAATCTGGCCAAAGTGTGAACATTTTGAGCAGAAACCGACACTCGAACATTAGACGGGTACCTAATATGAATTTGTACCACGGTAAAGAGTTTCAAATGGTTTCTGAAGATTTTTTGATGAGGAAGGAGGAAGGTTCATGCCAAACTTGTACCGAAAGTACTCACGGACAATCAGAAGTAGCGGCACGTGGCAGAAGAACAGTCACCCAGATTTGAGCCCTAAACAAGGTGGCAACGATTCTGCAGCTACCCTACAGCTCGGACCTCAACCCCAGTGACTTCTTTATGTTCTGCTAAAAAAAATACTTGAAAGGGAAGCAGTTCAGCATCATCACAGCAAATCAAACGACTTTGACGATGATTCTGAACTCCATTCCAGTAAACTTAGGAATAGAGAAGTTCCCTTGAAGCCTTCAGACAGTGGCTTTCGGTTAGAAGCGTTGTGTTGACTGGAAAGGAAACTAGCCTATTGGAAGTTTTCTAGTCTGCTACATACATACGGTAGCCTAAATGTTTTATAAATTTTTTTCCTGAAACCAGTCTTGAAACTTAATTAGGCCTAACTTAACACTCCATGTAGGCTGGGCATAGGTTCTTATAATCTATAAGCAGGGTTTACACTATACAACTTGTTTTACAAACTTTGCAAACAAATAGCAGAAACAATCTTTGGTAAACATGTTCGACGTTTCTGACATGGGTCGGGAACGCTGCAACTTGTTGTAAAACAAGATTTTTGGTTGTACAACTTGTTCAATATTTTGCATTGTATTTTTAGACATGTTCAAACCAATTAGGCCTACTATAATTGGCTGTACAACACAAGTTTATACAACAAGTTGAATAGTGTAAACGCGGCTCTAGTGTAAAAGCAAAAACCTAGTCCTATGCCCACTTGTGCAGAAAGGGAATTTGTTTATATTTAATTATAGGCTAGGCTATATATATTTCACATAGGCCTAGCTGATTTTTAGGTATCCAATATTTAAAAATTGATTTGGAGTAAATAGTTGAAAAATCTTAGTTACAAAGAATAAGTTAAACCAAACCAGCTTTAGATTATCCTAAGTCCTAAAGAGACTTTCAGACTTTATCAGCTGTTTCAGTATTCTTAAAATGGAATTTAATGGTATAATCATAGATTTGTTTGATAACTGTTAGTCAAAATATAGAGTAAAAGTTATCGTTTGATGGATAGAGCATGGGCTATGAATAACACTTCCACGAGATACAAAATTTCATATACTTACCATCCAATTTGACAAAGAACCATTCCCCGAATCCTTTGTTTACAATCGATTAACGGCACGGCAGAAGGCAGAAGCCCCCGTCCTGTCGAGTTGCTGGTGACTAATTTGACAGCTAGTCACTGCCTTTCAAATCTTAGGTAATACAAGGAAATACTGAAAACATCTTTACTATATTCAATTAACTACTTCGTTAGGGTATTACAGCTCATTATCTCATGGTGTAAAATAGGTTGGATATTTTATAGCCAGTAAAATGTATTAAAAATAACAATATATAAATGGACAACATCAAAATTAATCCAACATCAACCTTTCGTCCTGTCTCTTCTTGGCTACTGAGATTGAAAGAAAGCTACAGGACCTTGATGCCTCCAAGGGACCTGGACCGGATGGCATAACTCCGGCCGTTGTGAAGTCATATGCAGCGATCTTCTTGCCTCTCATTTAACTATTTATTTCAACAAGCTGCTGAGTGGTACTTTTTCGAAATCGTTGAAGTCTGGCTATCTCGTACCAGTTCATAAATCCGGATCTACATCTAAAGTAACAAATTACCGTCCTATCGTGATTCAGTTAATGATTGCTAAGGTCTTTGAAAGTTTGATCCTGGAAGTATTATCCTTTAAATTCAAGAATGTCTTCATTCCGCAGCAACACATGGCTTTCGCCCTGGGAAATCAACGACTACCAATCTTTGTGTCTTCAGTGAGAGTGTTGTTTCCTCCATCTCTCGATTCCACCAAGTTGACTGCCTGTATCTGGACTTCGCAAAGGATTTGGTCAGCCATAGCCATCTGATAGCTAAATTAAAGGCATATGGAATTATTGGTCCTCTTCTCCAGTGGCTTCAAAGCTATCTAAATGGCAGAACCCTTCAAGTCAAATTTGCATCATCACTCTCGAAGAATGTTGTGAGCGTAACACCAGGTGTGCCACAAGGGTCTCTTCTCGGCCCTCTTCTCTTCGGTCTATTCATAAATGATATTGGGGAGTCCCTAGTGTCCAACTTTCTTCTATTCGCCGATGATGTTAAATTAAAGTCTTCAAGGAGATTATTTCAATCCATCAACAACAAGAGCTTCAAGAAGATCTGGTTAAGATAGAACAGTGGTGTGATAGAAACGCTATGCAACTGAATGCTGACAAGTGTCAAGTAATGTCATTTGGAAGATCGAAAACTTTGCTGCACTTTGAATACTCTTTAAATGGCTTGATCCTGTGTAGAGTGACAGTGATTAAGGACTTGGGTTTGTATATGACACCATCCTTGGATCCAGGCGTACATATCACTAAGATTTGTGCTAAAGCAAACGCTCTATTGGGGTTCATTGCTCGCGCATCACGGAATGCCCTATCTCCTGCAACATTGAAGACCCTCTATGTGACTTTAGTTCGTCCCATCGTTGAATATGGATCTACTGTGTGGGCCCCACACCAGATTGGGCATTGTGACCACTTAAATAAAGTTCAGAGACGTTTCCTGCGTTTGGTGGGTGTTAGAAGTGGCATCCGTTATCCTGATGTGGATATACAAGAAATTGCAAACCAGCACCATATCCTTCCGCTGTCATCTAGACGACTGACCCTTGACCTTATATTCCTATTCAAGATTGTCAATGGTTATATCAATTGCCCTGAACTTCTACGTTGCATAGACCTTCACGTACCTGCTGGAACCCGCCTTCTACAACCTTTCTCCAGCAAGCACTCACATCAGACTGTCTACGCGCCTACCACAGTGTAATTCCACGTCTGCTGCGCTCTGGAAACTCTGCCCAACAGTTGGATTTCTTTGGTGAATCCCTTCAAAAGTTTCGAAGGCAAGTCTTCTCTTGGGTGGCTGAGCATGGAGGACATTAAGAGGAAGAGCTAACTTTGTTTGTTTTTCATGCTAGTCAATTGTTATTCCTGTTCCTTTTCTTGGATTTTTGCCTTGTTAATTATTTGTCAATTTTTCATAGCGTACACTGTTAGCACAAACTTAGCATGTACAGTAGAATGCACTTTGGCATGAAGTATTTATTGATTTTCATAGCATGTAGCATGAACTATATTATTTCATAGCATGATTTTCATAGCATGTAGCATGAACTATATTATCACTGCGCTTAAATTCACTTTGTTCTATTTTGTCTTTGATGCTCTATTTTTGTGTTATTTCTGTGTCATATGAATTGTACCTGCAACTGAATCAACTTAAATGATTGAATCTAGTAGTATTATTGCATGTAAGCGGCTTGAAAGAAAAATGTATAATAATATTCTGTATACCTAATCAACGTATTTTGTAAAATGGCGATTGCCGTATGTACGAATAAATAAATAAAATCTTAACAATCTTAATAATCTTGTATGATTATAATGGTCAATAAAGGCGAGACACTGCAGGTTTAGGAATCCGAACCACATTTTTGCCTTGGTATTAACGGGTTGGTCTAATTATCAGGATGGTAAAACAATCATGTAGAACCGCCACTGGATCGTCAGGAAGCTCAAAAAACTCATTCAAATGGGTTTTGCAAGGCTTATATAAGGCAAACTGGGTGTTCTCAAGCGGGTGTTAAATGCAAACCGGGGTCCCTAAATGCTGGCTCATCAGAAGAGTCCTCTTCAGCAAGATAAATAATGAAACAGAGGCTCAATAAGTGTCAATCAGCATCAGGTGGAGTAGGTTATGGAGCTGGCCCAATATAAAATGTCAATTTTTAGAGTATGGAGCTTATTCAGGGAGTCTGTGAGCTGGCTGTGGTTTCAGTGATTTCAGAATGTCCTAAACAAATACGTCCATAAACATGCACTAGTAGTTTTCATATGGGAGATCGCTTAACTTTGATCTCTCCAAGCCAAATATGAAAGTATTGAAAGTCAAAGACTTGCCTCATAATGTCATGTTATTTTGACCTAGATAACCTGATAGAGTTTTAAGAGAAGAGATAAGCCTTATGGGCTCTAGATCCCTAATATACACTATCTTCAGTAACGATGTAAAGGCAAAGAAAGGCTCAGTCATAATTTAGGCTACCAGATTGTCAGACCACCACCCACATAAGAGTGATCTTTATAGAAACTTCTCTCCTCCCAAAAATAATTAAATCAAATATAGGATTAGTAGGGTTGATGAGGCAAACATGAACATTTACAGATTCTATCTTTCTAAAGAAACTTGGCTAGATTTATTCAGTATTCAATGAGATATGAATATAAAATACAACCTATTAATCGACAAAGTGAAATACTATTTCGACATATCTTTCCCAAAATCGAACAAAAAGACCATAAATAAAAATAAAAATAAACTAGAAAAAACTACCCTTAGCCCTCAAGTGTTCAATTTTAGGAGTGAGTTACGCAGTCTTTGCCAGCCAAAGAACAAAGGATCCGAGTCAACTAATTTCATGCATGAATATAATATTACAAAAGGTTGAAATATCGCTATCATCGTTCTGCTATAAAAGAAGAAATACCCCACCACAGCAAACAAACAGACTAAGCAAATTGCTTTTGCCTGATTTGATTTTCAATTAATTCTATTTAAATAACATTAGGTTTAACATCTCACACCTAGGTTTAGTGCCACAGGGAGGGTAAAAAAGTGCACTTTATTAACCTCCCTGTAGCACTAAACCTAAGGTATTAATATCCGACTAAAAAATACATGTCTTTTTAGTAGAATAGCTTAGTATAAAATAAATAGATTTACCAAGTTTGGTCGAAATATTAACAAAATGACAAGCAAACTGCAACCGTTTACAATATTCTCTATAAGAATAACATGGGTATTTAAATTTACATTTTTGAATTTTCTCCATAACCATAAGCGTAAAAAGCGTTTACATACTATATAAATTATTTGTTTTTTAGCTCTTCAAAATGGTCTAAAGAGAATTTAGTGAATTTTGTGTTTTGAGGGTCAAAAATGAGAAAACCCAATTTTTGTCCAATAAATTCACTGATAAAACACGTGCCCATGGTCCAATCATGCGGGTTCGCAAACTCATCCAAGTTTATCCCGCCTTCAAGCAAATTTAATCAAAATCGGACGACAAATAATTACTCGAATTATCGTGTTCACAGACACACATATTATACAGGGTGCCCCGGAATTCTCTGCCAACTTTTCAGGTATGATTCCTGAACCATAGACAAGTCAAAATATCATATTCAAAATTTCAATAGCTCAAACGTTACTCATATAGCCACCATTTTGTTTTTTCACAAAACATTTTTAATTCAAGAACGGCTTGTTATAAAACAACGAAATTTGGTATATATTATACCTTATAAGAACTAATAAAATAAAATAAAATATTTTAGTGTTTATTATAAAAATGGCGGCCGCTTAATAGTTCAAAACTACTTAAAAACTGCAAATTAAAAAATATTTTAACTACTAGGCCTATATTTTTAAAGATAATTTAATTAAAAATCTTATGGTACCTACCAAATTTAAGGAAAATGGTTCATAATTAAATGAAAAAAATTCATTTTTAAGAAAATGTGATCATGCCAATACCAACTGTTACTAAGAAAAACCACTGCTAGTGAGCCATGTCAATCAGCTGTTTTATGCTCATTTGCCGATCAGCTGTTTGAAACAACACGTTGTTAAAATGTAATAATTTCCTGTGTGCTGCTTATTGTTAATCAGTTTATTGTTAATCAGCTTATTGTAAATAAATAAACTTTTATCTTTTTAGCGAATTACCCATATAGGGAATAAGCTATTACCGTAGGTCTCATGGTAAGACCTAGACCCGGGACCGATTAACTTGTTTGTTTTGAGGTCCCCAGTGAACAAAAACACCCTCCTTCCAAATTCATATATATATATATATATATATATATATATATATATATATATATATATTTATTTATATTTATTTAAGCCCTACGTGTCCGTTAGCGCGAATGTGATCCAATTTTGATGAAACTTGGTACAAACGGTTAAATCTACGTCTATTCGGAAGAGTTTGCGAACCAGCATAATCGGACCATGGGAACGGATGGGGGTTTAATGGGGTAACAATAGATTTTTCCCATTTTTGACCCTAAAACACAACATTTTATCATTTATTTCCAAACCATTCTGTAGAGCA